CCAGTAATTGATATTACTGTATTTAAATTTTGCTAGAGAATTATTTCCCTTTGGGAGCTCTGGTGGCATAGTGCCTAAGGCATTTGACTGCTAACCAAAAGGGAGGCAGTTCAAACCCACCAGCCACTCCTTGGAAGGAAGATTGGCCAGTCTACTTCTGGAATGATACTACCTCGGAAACCCAAGGAGGGATTGCTATGAGTCGCATTTAACTCATTGGCAGTGGATTTGGTTTGTTTTTGGTTTATTTTGCTTTATTACCCCTGCTGAAGCCATATTTGGACTGTTTCATGGCCTTGTCTCAAAGCTCCTACATGTTAGAAATTCTAGAATGTTGAGGGGATGGGATTTATGTCTTTGCTACACCCAGTACAATACTTGGAACATAATAGGCATTCAGTAAATGTTGGTTGAGGGACTGACTAGTGACTGATTGACTGACAGAATGAAAATGAATGAATCACAGAAAGAAAAGGAGACTTAATAAAAGGTTAATAACATATTAAAATTATCCAGTGGGTGGTAGATCTATCTTAAATCTATCTTCTTGCATTAGATCTTGTTCTTTTCCAGTTTATTAATTCAACAACTACGTAATCATCTAAAAGAAAATGAAATCAAAGAAGACAGTAGTACATCGTGCTAATTTTTTAAATGACAAGTGAATGCTTACCACAGTAACTCCAACAATATTAGCCTTAGGTTACTTGCCTATGTTGTTTCAAATGAAGCTAAACCAAACCAATCAATGCAGCATCCGGTTTCAGTCCAGTCCCTGTGTCAGATCCCTTACTCTGGATTCAGTTTTAGCTAAGACTCTTTAAACCTGTCATAGGAAAATAAGTACCCCTACAAAAGAAGTGGAATGAATAGTCAAAAATAGGAGGAAAGCCAGAGAGAAATAGTTCTCCAAAAGCTAAATTAAAAAAAAAAATTAGAACTATAGTCAACAATGTTGAATGTATTAAAGATTTTAGATAGGATGAAGACTGAAAACAGGCTTTGGGGTTTAACAATTATAAAGTCAACTCATCATTCGTAGGAAGAGATGTTTGAGTGAAAGCCAGATGGTAATGGATTGAAGAAGAAATGCAAAAACAAAAATAAATAACTTTTTTTCTTTTTCCTTCTTAAGATGTTTGCTCTAGGAGTGGTTGCTAGGTTCAAACCCACTGACCTTTCAGTTAGCAGCCAATACGATACTATAATCTGTGAACATACTTCACCAGTTTTCCTACTTATGTCCTTTATAACAAAAGGAAAAAATTGATCAGGATCTAATGCAGGATTACACATTATATTTAGTTACGTCTCTTTAGTTTTAAATCTGGTACAGTTCTTTATTATTATTAGTATTATTATTTTGTGACTTCAATGTTTTGGAAGAATACCAATGAATCAGTTTGTAGTACATCCCTCAATTTACATTTGTCTGATGTTTCCCCATGATTAGATTCAGGTTGTATATTTTCCTTTTTTGGTCAGGGAAAATAGCACAGAAGTGGTAACTGCATCCTCTTTACTACATCATGGTATTGATTTTACCCATCATTGGTTAAATTAACCTTTGTCACTTGGTAAAAGTGGTATATATTTCTCTACTGTAGAGTTACTCTTTTTCTCTTTTTTATAAGTATCTTTGGGGATATACTCTGAGACTCTGTAATACCCTTTTTTTTCTCATTATGCTTTTCCCTCATGTTTTAGAATTCATTGATCAGTCTTGCTTAAATCAAGTAACCAGTTGCTGTCGAGTTGATTCCAAATCATGATGACCCCATGTGTATCAGAAAAGAACTGTATTCCACAGGATTTCCAGTAGCTGATATTGCCAGGCCTTTCTTCTGAGGCCTCTCAGGGTGAACTTGAACCTTCAATCTTCTGGTTAGCAGTTGAGCATTTCACTGTTCTCACCATGCAGGGATACTCATTCTTGCCTTAAACAGTTATAATTATGGTGGTTATCAAGTGATAGTTTCGTAATTGTATCATTTCCTTTATATTTATTATTATAATTCTATAAGGAAGACCTTTCCCTTCCAGTTTACTTGATGCAATGAGTTATACTTCATTAACTGTCGTTATTTAGTTTGAGGCTCAGATCATGCGAGATTTAGCATGTGGGAGCCTCTTCCATCTGGTTCCTATGTCCTTTGGACATGCTGTTATCTTTTTTTCTTTACTTTTTACATATACTGTTTAGATAATGTGAATTTACCTGATTATTCCGTAATTTAGTTGGATTGAGATTCTATATATTAGCTTTTGCCTTATTTCAAATTCTGAACATTTTGTTTTTAAGAAAAAACTAAAGCCTTACAATAATAAAAATCCCTTCCTTATTATTTTTTTAACTTCAATTACACTGAATATACTTTTTAACAATTTTTTTTTCACTTAGAAACCCAAGGAGGGATTGCTATGAGTCAACACTGACTTCATGGCAGTGTGTTGCTCTTTTTTGCATTAGTATATTCTGGGGAGCTCTGGTGGCATAGTGCCTAAGACATTTGACTATTAACCAGAAGGCTGATGGTTCAAACCCACCAGCCACTCCTTGGAAGGAAGACTGGGGAATCTATTTCCATGGAGATACTGCCTTGGAAACCCAAGGAGGGGTTGCTATGAGTTGAATTGACTCAACAGCAGTGAGTTTATTTTGGTTTGGAGTATATCCTGAGTAGACAATTGTAGTTTTAAAATAGAACAAAAACCTTATTTATTTAAAATACAACTTTGTTGTGTCTTGGTAAAGATAACCTGTTAACAGTTGGTTTTGAATAGTTATTTTTATTAGCTTATTCTGGTGATAGAGTATGGTACTCTTTATGGAGCAATAGGAAAGAAATACTGATATATTCTGTCATACTAACAAAAAAATGTTTTTCTTAGCTGCAAATATGCTGTATTGTAAAATATAAAACCACAACCAAACTTCAGTGTACTTTCAAAACAAGAAGCTGAAAATTAAGCATATTTGCCAATGCATAATTTTCCCATTAGTATTTATTTGCTGCTTATATGCCTCCTCTTCACTGACTATCTTGTTATCTAACATTTTGTATTTACAACAATAGTAAGAAATCTGTCCAACTGTTTTTCACTGTAATGATGTATATCTGGCAGTAATGAACAGCAAGGTGTAAGGTGAGAGTAACACTGGTTGTAATGGTTGAAGTTATGACTGGACCATGATTCTCAGTGGTTTAGTAGTTATGTAATGATCCAGTTTGGGAGTTATATAAAAATGTAATTTGACAATTACACAATGATGTAATCTGGCAGTTATGTAATTTTGTGATTTGTGATTTGATGTAGTCATCCTCCATTTTCGCATAATACTGGTTTTTGCATAACTGCCTGGTCTTTGGAACCTAGCCATGTCAATAAGTAAAGAATGGGTATACATTTGTTTTTGAATTGTTCATATTTTTCTTTGTCATATGCTAGTTCCCACTAGCAGAAAAGTATCCAGAGACAATAAAGCTTTAATGGGAAAAATAATTGGAAAGAAAACCTACAATTAAGAAAATTCTGTTTGAGAATTAAGAAAATTATTTTGATTTGATTCTGACTCAGTGACCCTATAGGACAGGAAGAACTGGCCCATAGGGTTTCTAAAGCTATCGGTTTTTATTAGAGACATAAAGTACTTTGGAGTTACAAGGCAGCTTTGTTATCTACTATCATATTTTCTAAGGACAAGAGTTACATTATATGTAAAATTTGTAAATTGATCATATTATTTATTACCCAGATTGGAAAAATTTTGAGAGTGAAAGGAGTAGGGAAAAATTGCTAAACTGGGTGGGACCATGGCACAACAGGTGTAAAGTGAGACTATCCTAGGAGAGAGGGGGGTGTATGGTCACCCAAGATACAAACAGCTTTGCCAAATAATTATCCAAACTCTGCTTGAAAGTATTTGTTACCTCACAAAAACCTAGTGCTTTAGGTGGCTCTAGTTATTAAAAAGTTCTTTTATTGAGCTAAAATTTATCTTCTGTAACTGTTAATTCTTATTCTCAGTTATGATCTCTGGTACTAAATATAGCCAGAATATGGCAGTATATAAAATATATCTGCTTATGAGATATTTTTTTATATTAAACAAGTTTTAAAGTGTTTATTTTTTACTTTAGAAAAATCTTACAGGGAGTTCCCTCCCTGTATGCCCAAATTAAAATATAAAATACAATGTAACACAATGACCATTCTGATGTCTAAGTGAACAGGCTCTGTCAGGTACAGGGCACTGTTTGCTGAACAGCACTTGAAAGCACATCCATCTATATATGATCTATACATACTGCCACTTAAATGTTTAATGAGGTTTCTGGCTCCTCAGAAGCTTTCAGTTATTTAATTAATATATTGTCACCTTAAGATGAAATAAAGAACTATAGAAGATAGGCCAGTTAAAGTTAAAGAAACAAAATAGTTTATATATGGGAAGGGTTGGCTTGTAGCTACAGGTAATCATAATGCATATAGTTTTGTTGTAAAAAACAATCTACATCTGTAAAGACATAGCTTCAGATACTTTTAAGACAGCTCTCTTGTTATCTTTTCTTTTCCTCCAGGCTAAAAATCATGATTCAGTATTCATGGAGATTTTCATTGTCTTTGTCACTATACTAAAGACATGTTTTAGTTTTCATGTGCTATACATTGCCCACTTTTTTCAGTAGGCTGGTAAGTAGGAAAAACTGGGATGATAACTTTTGATGTGCTGTGTGGATAGGACACAGGTCCTGGTTCATTACTATATACAAGTAGGTTTCCCCTCATACCCTCCCACTATTTTATTTATTTATATTTTTAGATAACTGTTAAGAATGTAAAATAGCCAAATGAAGGAAAATTTTGTTAATCTTTTTAAATACTATTTACTTTATTTTTGGCTAAAATATCCTTTGCCTGAAAAAATTTTTAAGAATTAGGTTAAAATTTTAAAAATAATCAAAATTACATTGAATTTTGCCCCTTTGTTCTTTTAGCTTCACAATGAAGACGATAATTTAGAGTCATCTGCTGTAGAGCAGCCATCAACTTCAAACTCAACCCCACAGATTGTACAGACTGCTCCTTCAACACCAGTACTTGAAACCAACTCTTCTCCTCCACCTTACAGTAGTATTACTGTGGAAGTACCCACAACTTCAGGTATTTTTGTTTTTAATATGAAACAAGTAGTTTTGTTTTAAGTATTGCTTGTATAAATATCAAGTTTTTTAATGGGCTTCTTTGGTTTTATAATTTTTTAAAAACGTTTCCCAAGGATAGTTTATAGAATATTTACTTCATGCATTACTTACACCATTTTTTTTGTTTGTTTTTAAGAAATTAATTTAAAAGGATAGCTATTTAAAGTTTCTTTTGCTTATTAAAATCTTGTAAGGAGTTTCAAGATGGACTAGCATATAAGTACTTTTCTTTTAAAAAAACATTGCAGTTTGGGTTGAAGTTTACAGAGCAAATCAATATTCCATTCAACAGTTCACACACATTTTACTTCATATCATTGATTGCAATACGCTCAATGTAACATCACTCCTCCCACTTTTTCACTGTGTTTCTCATTTCCCTTTCTCCTCCTTTCCTGACCCTTCCTGCATTCTGAACTGTGTCCTTGGGCAAATGTTGCCTTTTTCATCTCAAATGGTTGAATGTTATAAGGAGTGTCTACCTTCCTAGAATTAATGTTCACCTTGTAGACCTGTCTATTGTTTGACTGAAAATTCAGCTACTGGAGTATGTTCAGTTCCAAGTCTGGAGGGTGACCAAGGTCCACCCCTGGTCTCAGGTGTTCCATCATTCTCTGTCTGACCATTACATTATAACTACTTTTGGAAGAAAATTACATATACATTCACAGACACATATACATATGCACATGCCTATGTGTCTATATACACACACTGATATATTCATCTATACACACATATATTTACATGCACACATTTTTATAAACAGACATGTGTGTATATGTATGTGTACCTACTTACAGAGTCATAAATAAGGTGTTAATGATAAGTGTGCATAGGAATGTGGTCACTGTTGTTGTTTGATGCTGTAGAGTTGGGTCTGAATCATAATGACCCTGTGCACAATGGAACAAAACACTGCCTAGACCTGTGCCATCCTCACAGTCTTTGCTATGCTTGAGCCCATCATTGCAGCCACTGTATCATTCCATCCTGTTGAGGGTCTTTCCCTTTTTTGCTGACCCTCTGCTTCACCAAGCATGATACTCTTCTCTAGAGATTGATCACTTCTGATGAGATGAGCAAAGTACATGAGATGAAGTGTGGACATTCCCCTCTCTAAGGAGCATTTTGGCTCCTCCAACACAGATTTGTTCTTTTTTGATTTTTTTTTTTTTTTTTATTAGGATTTGGGTGAAGATTTACAGAGTAAATTCACTTTTCAT